ATCAGTTATGGCTGATTTTGTTTTGATTAATGCTGTTCCAGTGCAATATCTCTCAATATGGACAAGTACTCGTTTGACGATTAGATACAAATGTCAATCATTTTAATGTTAAACAATCATCATAATCATACTCCTTACATGGTTATATTCCAGATATATTACTATAAACAAAATTATAAACAGGGACTGTACCATGCATGCTTGTTCAATTAGAGACGTTCTCAGCTTACTGTTTGCATATCAAAAATATGATTTTATTCAACCATAGACCTTAGAGAACAGGGACATGCTACTGTGGGTATCCCTTTCATGTAACCTTAGTTATAATCCTCTACCCAATTAACACCTTAGTGAAACTGACAATAAAGCTATGTCAATGCCACTGTTACATCCTCTTCTGTTCCATAAGCCAAACATCGCTGCCAAGGAGTAGCTACACAACATGAGCCAACTTTGTCATTAGAATATAATCAGAAAAATTACATTTGATTAAAACTGAATAGCCAAGTCCATTCTATTGATACGAGTGAAACTAAAAATTGCAAAGTTAACAGTTTTTATTCCACTATGAAAACAGGAAAGATAAACAAAAATGGTCAGTTTTCTCTACAAGAAAACAAATTGATTGTTTAATCGTGGATGTAGTACGTCCATGAACAGTCCCTCTATCATAGATAGATAAAGGTGATAAAGATAAAGTGCCAACAATCTTGTGTATATGAGGTTATTACGAGAATACCTCAAAGTCTGACAGCAGCGGAGGTCGATGTGAAGCATACTGTGAGTATTATTATACTTATGTATACCTTATTATACATCTTTTTCTTCCAAGGATACACCATGGGAATGCCGAAATCCAAAAAGTTTAGAACAGAATCAGTGAACTTCTTTGTGTGGAGTCCGGTCAAACCCTGATGGCAGCCATATTTGGTTTTATTATTAGAGGGCGTTTACACGCGTAATCATTCCATATTTGAAATTCGCATTTCCTTGTATATATTATATGGATGAAAATACCCCGTAAAATAACGCATTTACACCGCATGGCGATACAGTGACAGATGTATAATAATATACTTTATTTTAAATTAGTGACATCTTAATTTAGCGAATCTGGCTTTTTGGGCGTTTTGTATGGAATTTATTTGGGAAATATATGAAAAAAAGTATATTTGCTGGATTTTATTTTCACGGAATCATCCCTTCAGTGAAAATAAAGTATTCTACATTAAGCCAAACATGACTGCCAGAGTGTAGCCACACAACATGAGCCAACTTTGTGGTTCGAATATCAGCAGAAAAGTTACATTTGATCAAAACTGAAAAGCCAAGTCCATTCTATTGATACGAGTGAAACTAAGAATTGGAAAGTTAACAGTTTTTATTCCACTATGAAAACAGGAAACAAAAAGGGTAAATTTTTTCTACAAGGAAACAAAACTACCTAAAAGCATGGAGGTAGAATCTCTTTTCTAAAGTAAACAAATGTCCTGTCAATGTTTGTGTCATTATGACAAGTGGATTTTTCTACATATTTAGAACCGATATAGCATAATGCACCCGTTATACACTGAAAAATGTGAATATTGGCACAGCATAACTTATCAAACATATAAAAGCATAAAAATGTGACTTGTTTCAGATGTGTAAATCTACTAAGGTATATATACTAATACATGGGATTATTTATACAGAAGATTATAATCCTAGTTGCACACCAGAAACTTGATTTTCTTTTGTCTTTTATTTTTTAAGGTCTATGGTAAAGATCACCTCGCCAGCCTGTTTTTTCAATAAAGTAATGATGGATATATTTTCAGTATTAGAACGCTTTCACCATTGGGTTTCTATGGTGACGATATTCATCTACATTACAAAGTGTACTCTATTGACATAGGATGAACAAACTAATAATATATCATGCCTAATGAGGTACTTTTTGTTATTGTGAATTACTTCAAAAATCTGAATTTTAAATTTTTTTTAACATTGTGCTCTATAGACATTTTCTGAAAATATTTTTTTTTGAAAATATTAATACAATTTTTTCAAAACAGTACTGTAATACACAAAAGAATGCTGTTTCTTGTTACCATGGTACAAGAACTCAAATGTTTTACATACTAAATCAATAACCATTTAAGTTGGTACACGATCATATTCGATACTAGATTTGCATACAGTCTTATTTTTGGGTGTTTTTTCAATAAAATATAGAAGTGTGTAAATGGCGAAAGTCGGTTTACCACAAAATAAACAAATAACCTGTTTATTTCGCATTCAATTGATGAATTTTTAGAGTTTTTGTTTCACCTGATACATTAAAAAAAACAATGAAATACTGACAATGTATGAAGAAACATTTATAGTGTGTTCTTGTCTGCTGCGTCAGAGTACCCATATAGAGAAGCAGATTGCAGATAATGGATGTCAAGTTTTAACATTTTGGCCCAAATTCAACGTTTGCAACTAAATATGTTCGAGAGTAATTTAATATTTCATACGTTGATTTGGTTGTAATTTATTAACTTGCACTTCAAATTTCATTACAATCGTACATTTCAGTTTTTAATGAAGCTCTTTAAAAATCGACATGTGAATGTATGGTAGAATATTTTATTTCATCGCAAACTGTAAATTTAGACCAATGGTAAATACAGAATGCAATATGTTATACAATGTATACTTTAAAATATTTGGAATTAATTTTCGCTGATGGAATGATCAGGCGAAAATAGAATCCAGCGAATATACTTTTTTCTATATTTTACATTCAATTGTCAAAAACCAGTGAAAATAAATCCAATACAATACACCCAAAGAGTCTTTTTTAGTGCAAATTAATTCCAGCTAAAATAAAGAATTTTACAGTAGTTGGATATATTTTGGGAACTTTTTTTTTTCAGTGTGTTCCTCGTCACCTTAGACCAAAAAAAAAGGATTTGCTACTCAT